CGTTTCTTTAATGCTAAGTGACAAACTATAACTCAAATCTTTCATGACCTTGGGATATGCGCAAAGATTCATAACATTCTTAACAAAAGGCAGAACTCCATTTTTAAAAATCAGGGCCGGTCGCGTGTGGCTCCGCCTGTCAATCCTAGCTCTCTGGGAGGCCAAGGTGCGATTGCCTCAAGTAGGAAGTTTCGAAACCAGACCTGACAGCAGAGCAAGACCCTGACGTCTCCTTCATATAAATAGCAAAGAGAATTAATTGGTCAATCTACATTATATAGAAACAAATAGAGCCGGGGGCCCAATGGTGGCACGATGCCTGCAGTGCCCAGTACTCGGGAGGCTGGAGGCAGCAGGGATTCGCTTGAGCCACAGAGTTTGAGGTTACTGTCGAGCTAGGCTCGATGCCACGGCACTCACTCTAGCCTCGGACAATATAACGTGAGACTCTGTCTCAAAAAAAAAAAAAAACCTAATACACGGACTTCAAAAATTTTAGCTTTTCTCTTCCCAAAAGTATGACTATAAACAATGGAAAAGCGGACCTCACAGATTGGGTCATAAATCTGATAATCATTCAAGGCATTTGTAGACTATATACAAACTATTATAACTCAAAAATAAGGAGACAAACAACCCAATTTTTTAAATTGAGCAATTTTTTAATACTTCACCAAACTTTGGGACACTTAACCAAAGAAGATATACAGATGGCAAATAAACAAAAGATACTGACATCATTAGGAAATATAAATTAAAACCATATTTTGAGATACACTATATTTCTACTAGAATGGCCAGATTTAAAAACTGACCATATCAAATGTTAGTAGCGATGCAGAAAAACTGGAACCATCCTAATACTACTGGGTGCAATTCAAAATGCTACAACCACTTTGGAAAACAAAATTGGTTTGGCAGTTTCTTAAAAAGTTAGACATATACCTAAGATGCAGCCATTCCACTCTTAGGTATTTACCTAACAGAAATGAAAGACTTATCACAGGCGGGCGCTGTGGCTCACGCCTGTAATCCTAGCTCTTGGGAGGCCAGGCGGGCGGATTGCTCAGGTCCAGGAGGTTCGAAACCAGCCTGAGCAAGAGCGAGACCCGTCTCTACTATAAATAGAAAGAGAATTAATTGGCCAACTGATATATATATATATAAAAAAATTAGCCGGGCATGGTGGCGCATGCCTGTAGTCCCAGCTACCCGGGAGGCTGAGGCAGAAGGATCACTCGAGCCCAGGAGTTTGAGGTTGCTGTGAGCGAGGCTGATGCCACGGCACTCACTCTAGCCTGGGCAACAAAGCGAGACTCTGTCTCAAAAAAAAAAAAAAAAAATTCACTAGGGTCTTGATTGCTTAAAAAAAAAAATAAATAAAAAATAAAAAAAAATAAAAAAAAAAAGACTTATCCACAAATGTCCATAGCAGTTTTAGTTGTAATAGCCTAAAACTGGAAACAACCCAAATGCCCATCAGCAGACAAATGCATAAACAAATTATGGCAATTGCATACAATTAATACAATTAAATACTACTCAGCCATAAAAAGGAATCAGATAAATCTCAAAATAATTATGCTAAGTAAAAGAAACCAGACAAAACAGAGGTAGATGAAAAAGATGAGAAGTCTCTTGAGGGTAATGTTTATTATCTTGATTGTTGTGATTGTTTTATGGACACATAATGTGTCAAAATTTATCAAATTGTCCACTTTAAACATGTACAGTTTTCTGTATGTCAATTATATCTCAATAAAGGTATTTTAAAGTTTATGGAATATATCTCATTTTTTATGATTTCCTGCTCTAATTTTTTGTTTCACCAACTATAGGTGAGAGGGCTTCTACTCAATTTATTTACTCACCACCTAATGCTTTCAGCACCCACTATCTTCAATAGCATCTGCCAATGTCATCTGTGCTCTTGGAGGGATAATGTCTGCTCTTATCTACCCAGAGAATTCCAGTGAGTATCCTGGAGGTAATGAAATCCATACTAAATGGATTAAAACTAAATTAGCATTCTTTTTTTTTTCTTTTTTGAGATAGAGTCTTACTCTGTCACGCTGTGTAGAGTGCATTGGCATCATCATAGATCACTGCTATCCTTAAACTGCTGGGCTCAAGCCACCTTCTTGCCTCAGCCTCTCAGCTGGGACTACAAGTAAGTACCACCATGTCCAGTTAATTTTTCTATTTTTAGTAGAAAAGGAGTCTTGCTCTTGCTCAGGCTGGTACTGAACTCCTGAGCTCAACAATCCTACTGCCTTGGCTTCCCAGAGCGCTAGGATTACAGGTGTGAGCCTCCTTGCCCAGACCAATTCCTTTCACTTCATATCTATTTTCATAAGGCTAGGACTTTTATTGTAAATTCACTTATATAATGACAATACTCTGAATCTTCCTTAGTAGGATTTTATTTCAATTTGTTCTGAACTTTATCTATGCATTAATTAAAAGCACAATGAATAACAACCATTACTACTAATCACTAAAATAAACACATGAAGCACTCAAATGTATAAACCTTTTATTTAAAATCAGAGAGACTCAAATACAAACTAAATAAGTATAATATAAAATATGAAGCCTTCATAAACCAGACCATAACCACTTTAAATCATCTATTTCTACAACATTAAAGAGAAATTTAAAAATAGTCAAAAATCAAATTATTTTAAACTCTTAAGATTAAAATTATTACAAAACATTAAAAGAAATTTAATTAGAAAATGAACAAAACCACTACCAAGTGATTCCTGCTATCCTCTAAAATCAATAAAGTAATTAAAATTTAGTGTGATTTCTATTCATAGATAAAAAAGTACTTCATTTAAAAAAGACAATGGTCTGTTTCTATTCAAGGCTGTGTGGATTTGCTTTGTTTACTTCACTTTTAATTTTATAATGGCACAGTAAGCTTGATCCGTGAAAGCAGTATCATTAAAAATGTGTACAATGTTCCTTACAGACCCTCTCTGGTTCACTTCCCAAATGAGGGCATCATATATTTAAAACTTAAGCCAGAGCGGTGGCGCACGCCTGTAGTCCCAGCTACTCCAGAGGTTGAGGTGGGGGGATTGCTTGAGCCCAGGAGTTCTTAGAGGCTACCCTGGGCAACATATGAGACCCCATCTCAAAAAAAAAAAAAAAAAAAGAGGCAAAATGGTAAAATTCAAAACAGTATAATACAATAAGTACCTCTTTATAAGGTACTGTAGCAAAATATAAATACACAATAAACAATGAAGTGTCTGTTTTTTTTATGAATAGGAAACTGATCAGATCAGATTCATTCTATTTTTTCCTCTTTTTACTGTGTCTTAATTCTCCAGGAAAAAAAGTTTTATATTTTATATTATTAATGTTATAATTCCAATTCTAAGATTTTACACAAAAAAAGGTCCAAGAGAGATATATAATATCTTAAGCCTGTGTTTTTGTGAAAATATTTATAAAAAGTGGAACTAGAATTGTGTTAAATATAATAGATAACAGGAAAATACACTATCATGGTGTTTGTATATTTAAAATAATCCAAAACAAATAAAAACACACATAATAGCACCCACATTATTCAAGAATAAAGTTATTTTTATATATATATATCTACACACACAAACAATTAAATGGTTAAATAAATGAACATTTTCCTAAAACATGCATATTGTGGAATATTTTATAATTAAACTTATAAAACCAAACTCAATTGTACATTATCAACTGTCGTGATTAGAGCTTTATGCACATCAGGAGAATTACAACTTTAACATCTGTTGTCCTGTAAAACTGAAGATAACAAAACTCTAGCATTTCACTAGAAAATTTTATATATCTCAGCAACCTGTCATACTGCCTATCATCCAACAAATGGACTCTAAAATGCAGTTATTCTTTTCTAAAATTTTAAATGTCTACTATTGCTCTTTAAAAACCATTTTAATCAAATTACATTTCTTGGAGAAGATTTACTCAAGGTTCTGAAAGAATTAATTATTTTCTACAAGCACCTTTGCCTTGAGTGGTAGAGTTGTAGCTCTCTTAGAAGTTTTTTTCCTCTTTCAAAGAGAATAAAAAATATGGAGAGATTTCCTCACTGACTCACTAAATGTAAAGATTAATTGAGAGGGCATAATAAAGTTTTGGAATACAGTAACATGTAAGTTTTCATGGTTTATTTACTACTAACTAGCTATAACCTTAGACAAATCATTTGATTTCTCTGTGCCTCAGTTTCATCTTTAAAACAAAGAGATTAGAATAGAAATCTCTAAGGTTTCTTCCCACTCTCACATTGTGTGATTCTGTGCTTCTGCAGAAATTCTTTTTTTCTTTTCAGCATATTATGGGGGCACAAACGTTAAGGTTACATACATTGCCCTTGTCTCCCCTCCCCCCTTGAAATTCTTAATTGAAAAACTGAATCTTCTATAAATCAAGAGAACTGATGTAAAGTAAATAGCACAGCTAAACTAAACCTCTCCTGTTAGAAAAAAAACACAAATACCATGTTCAAAGCTCAAATTCCCTATTTATTAGACCCATTCCCTCTTCAGCCAGACCAATGAATAGCCCATCGAGTTAAAACCAAATATCTTAGTCACATAAATTACTTTTAAATTATATTGTATACCCATCAAAATATACTAAGCCTATGCCACAGTTTTCCTACATTTTATTTACATTATTTTCCTTCTATTTACATTCAAGATAATCTATATACTTAAGAAAGGAGCTATTTAATATTCTGGTACTTCTAAACACTAGTAAAAGTTAGATAAAATAGAGATGAAGAGCAGAATATGAATAATTATCATATTCTGCCAAATTTTTAATAAGGTATGCTAAATACTATTTATGGGCTAGGAAAACAAGGCAAAGGTAAAAAAGGAAATCCTGCTGGAAAATGCTGATGATCAAATGAATTTAGTTGTGTTTTGCCATTACTTAAAAAAAGATACTACATACCACTTGCTGCGACTAAAAAAGAAAAAAAAAAAAAAAAAAAGAAAAGAGTAAATATTTAAAAAAAAAAAAAAGATAGGAGGCAGAGGATGTTAGCAGAAACCTACATAGGTAATACTGATCCATGACATTCCAGCAGCTTTTATGAAAAATTAACATACCAGGAAGCAGTATTTTGGTACTAGTACAGTGCAAATTGGTTTTTCTTTGTCTAACTATGGGCAGCAAATGAGGCACTTAACTGCTCAATAGAAAAATAGGGTATATTTAAGAAGACATTCAAAATCATTAATAAAAGATAATCAGCATTATTCAAAAAGTAAAAAATCCAATTTTTATTTAACATGCATTTAACATTACACATGTTTCACTAGGGAAAATCCTTTTGAAGGTAGGACTGCTGTTTTGTTTATAAGAGATAGAAAACATTTCTTTTTCAAGAGATTCTAAATTTCTGAGAATGAAATCCAAGTCTTCTCAACCTGAGTGCTACATATCTATAAACCAAGAAAAATACATCTTACCATACTAGAGAAATGTTTATGACTATCAACAAATACCATGCACCATGTGATCCTCTACTTTATTCTTGAAGGATAAGAAGTTTATATTTTATATAACTTCAAAGAAGGGGACCCAATGATTATAACAGAATAATGAATAAATATTTAGCACCTAAATTTAGAGAACACTTAAAGTATTGCCATAGTTGTAAACAGCTGTATGTCTGTAGGTGGGGAAAATCAAATAGGTGTTGTTCAATGATATTAGAACATTCTCAAAGATTAAAAAACCAAACTTCCAAAATTATCCTTTATTTAGATATGCATCTACCTACAACATTCAAACCCAATCTTATTTCTTCCTAAAGTTACAGATATATATTATTTTTAATAAGTAAGTGAAGTTTATTTTTCTTAACCACCATTAAACTGTCTTCCAATGTGGCACTTTTTCAGAGATTATATAGAAAATAGTTTTAAAAAAACTCATCATATTCTACCACTAGTATTACTTTAAATGTTCACCACTATGGGGCAGAGGTCAAAAGTGAAGTGAATGGCCATGGAACTTCTGCTGAAATACATAATATAAGCAGAACATAGATGATTAACATACATTAATTTCTGACAATATATTGGCACATAAATGTTTAATATAGGGTAAGAAAGCACTTGCTGAAAAACATAAATGTATGCTGTGACATTATTCCAAGTGGCTATAGTATCTCCTTTCTTCCTATCTAAATGAAATATTGCTTTGCCTAAGAAAGGTTGATTTTAATCCTGGATGGAACACTTTACTTCTTCATACATTAAAACTGATACATGACATTAACTAAAGTTTTCCATAAGACAATTTAATCATCCCCACTGAGAAATCCTATAATCTTTTCTTCCTAAATTTGCTTATATAAAGGCTTTCTCTGATTTGATGGGAGGGGGGAAAAAGTCTTAAAAATATATTCTTATTCCAAGGAGACCAGAAAATTCTAATAATTCACAGTCCTCGTATTTATCATTTATATTTTCTTTAACAAATTGCATTATTACCATATAATTAATTTCCTCAGATATAGAAGAATCAAAACACTCTTATTTATATCTTTAAGATAAATTTCTGTTTTCTTTAATATATTCCAGTTTATTTTTTCTTTTTTTTTTTTCCCAAGAAACTCCTGGAATTGATATTCCAGTTTATTTTTTAAAGGAAATGAATAAATGAAAGAAATGGGAACATTGTTGATGCAATTCAGTTGTTAAGAAATAAAGTGCATATAGCTTTCAATATACATAGTTTGGTACATTATCGCTAAGCAAAAAGCTAGCAAAACCAAAATGAAGACTCAGTTCAATATCTAGAATCTGGAAAATATGAGACAAAAATATAAATTCTATATAAATAGTAACAAAATGGGAGAGGGGGAGAACTTCCATTCAAAAAAAAGGCAACTGAAAATATTTTTAAGAAAAGTTAAGTAATTTCAGCTTCCCAAGAGACCAGATACACTACACAGTAACACCAACATGCAATACCTGAAATGTAGAATCACATTCTGGCTGCTGCCCTTGAACTTCTGTATTTAATTTACAATTCTCTGATGTCTGGCTGATTTCATCTTGCAAGGTAGGAGATATGCCATGAGTCTCATCTGCAGAAGCACTGACAGACAAGGTATCTAACTTTTCCAGGGAAAAAGCCATGTGATGCTTACCATCTCCTGAGCCTTCCTCAAAGTTTGTCCTCTCATCAGCCTCTTCTAGCTGTTGAACTGAAGTTAAATATTGTTCAAGCAGACTATTATCCTGCTCATTATTTGAACTTTCCTTATTCCATTCACCATGTTCTTCACTAATATCCCCTAAATCTGACTCTTTGCCATATTTGACTGTGTCAATGGAATTCCCCATTATGGAGCTTTCACTGCCTTCTGTGGAACTTTTTTCAAAATCCAAAGAATCCTGCAAACAGTGAACTTGTTCTGTTAAGGAGGAATGAAAACCAGAGTCTGGAAATTCTGGAAATGATTTCTCTTGAGGAGCTTCATCAGGAGCAATGAACCAATCAGTATTTTTATCAGAAGATGGTTCCTGACTTTGAGTAAATAATGGAGGTTCAGATGGTGCCAGAGTACTTGATAAAGGAGGTACATCAGTATGCCAGGAACTTAGACGCTGGTCCACTGTCTCTTGCCAAGCTTGTAGAGACCTCACCTATAAACCAGAGGATATAGTTTTATTATAAAATAAAAATCATATCTGTTTTAGAATTGTCCTTTGAGCTTTTCTTCTAGCAGTCATGAAGTTGGTAAATGGTAGAACTGGAGTTAGAAACTGCCAGATTCCCCTTATCCTTTTGATAGCACTGCCAGCCTAATCCTGGCTAGCACAAGTGGTACAAGTCCTTGGTAACAAAACGCCCTTAGCAGTAGGCCAGTCTGGCAACACAGCTAGACCTCATCTCAAAAAACAGAACAAAACAAACAAAAAAAAGGCCCTCACCAGGAAAGTGAAGATGACCCAAAGTAATTCCCCTGCTTCTACTAGAAAAACAAAAGCCCAACAGTATATGTCTAGCTGACTAAGGGGTCTATAATGTACTCAATATACACTGAGGTCTATTCAAAGGCAAATTAGAGCTCACTGATAAATGTAGATCCTCTAAAATAAGTCTATTTTAGATATTCATGTAGATGATACATAAAAGTTTTGAAGTATCATCTAACCATACAGTATATGCAACTTTCTAAAATACCTAAAACATACCAAATTCTTGATATGACCTTTACATTTTTTTTTTTTTTTTTTTTTTTTTTTTGAGACAGAGTCTCACTCTGTTACCCAGGCTAGAGTGAGTGCCGTGGCGTCAGCCTGGCTCACAGCAACCTCAATCTCCGGGGCTCAGCGATCCTACTGCCTCAGCCTCCCGAGTAGCTGATTACTATATATATATAACAAAATTGCCGGGCATGGTGGCGCATTTGTGCCTGTAATCCAGCTACCCGGGAGGCTGAGGCAGAAGGATCACTCGAGCCCAGGAGTTGAGGTGTGCGTGAGCGAGGCTGACGCCACGGCACTCACTCTAGCCTGCGGCACACAAAGCGAGACTCTGTCTCAAAAAAAAAAAAAAAAGACTTTACACCAAATGTCCATAGCAGTTTTAGTTGTAATAGCCTAAAACTGGAAAACCAAAAATGCCATCAGCAGACAAATGCATAACACAAATTATGGCAATCGCATACAATTAAATACTACTCAGCCTCTAAAAAGGAATCAGATAAATTCGACATAAAATTATGCTAAGTAAAAGAACCAGACAACACGAGGTAGATGAAAAGATGAGAAGCCTCTTGGGGGTAATGTTTATATCACTTGATTGTTTGATTGTTTATGGACACATAACTGTGTCAAATTTATCAAATTGTCCGCTTTAAACATGTACGAGTTTTCTGTATAGTCAATTATATCTCAATAAAGGTATTTTAGTTTATGGATAATACTCATTTTTTATGATTCCTCTGCTCTAATTTTTTGTTTCACCAACTATAGGTGGAGGGCTTCTACTCAATTACTTTACTCACCACCTAATGCTTTCAGCACCCACTATCTTCAATAGCATCTGCAATATCCTGGCTCTTGCGGTATGTCTGCTCTTATCGTACCCAGAGAATTCCAGTGAGTATCCTGGAGGTAATGAAACATCAGCTAATGGATTAACAACTAAATTAGCATTCTTTTTTTTTCTTTTTGAGATAGAGTCTTACTCTGTCACGCTGTGGTAGAGTGCATTGGCATCATCATAGACCACTGCTATCCTTAAACTGCTGGGCTCAAGCCACCTTCTTGCCTCAGCCTCTCAGCTGGGACTACAAGTAAGTACCACCATGTCCAGTTAATTTTCATTTTTTAGTAGAAAAGGAGTCTTGCTCTTGCTCACAGCTGGTCCTGAACTCCTGAGCTCAACAATCCTACTGCCTTGGGCTTCCCAGACGCGCTAGGATTACAGGTGTGAGCCTCCTTGCCCAGCAATTCCTTTCACTTCATATCTATTTTCATAAGGCTAGGACTTTTATTGTAAATTCACTTATATAATGACAATACTCTGAATCTCCCTTAGTGAGATTTTTATTTCAATTTGTTTCTGAACTTTATCTATGCATTAATTAAAAGCACAATGAATAACAACCATTACTACTAATCACTAAAATAAACACATGAACACTCAATGTATAACCATATTTTATAAATCAGAGAGACTAAATAACTAACATAAGTATGAATATAATAAAATATGAAGCCTTCATAAACCAGACCATAACCACTTTAAACATCATTATTCTACAACATTAAAGAGAAATTTAAAATAGTCAAAATCAAATTATTTTAAACTCTTAAGATTAAATATATAACAAAACATTAAAAGAAATTTAATTAGAAATGAACAAAACCACTACCAAGTGGATTCCTGCATCCTGCTAAGATCAATAAGTACAGTTAAAAGTTATGGTGAGTTTCTATGATCATAAGGATAAAAAAGTACTCATTTAAAAAAGACAATGGTCTATTTCTATTCAAGCCTGGTGGGGGATTTGCTTGTTTATTCACTTTAATTTTATAATCGGCACGAGTAAGCATGCATCGCGGAAGCAGTATCATTAAAAAGTGTCAATCTTCTTACAACCCTCTCTCTGTTCACTTTCGCAAATGAGGGCATTCATATATCGTTAAAAACTTAAGCCAGAGCGGGGACGCATGCCTGTAGTCCCAGCTCTCCAGAGGTTTAGGTGGGGGGGGATGCTTGAGCCAGGATTCTTAGGAGCTCACTCTGGCACACATATGAGACCCATCTCAAAAAAAAAAAAAAAAAAGAGCAAAATGGGTAAAATTCAAACAGTATAATACAATAAGTTACCTCCTTTATAAGGTATGTAGCAAAATATACAGTACACAACAAACAAATGAAGTGTCTTGTTTTGTTTGATGAATAGAACTCGATCAGGATCAGGATTCATCTGGCTAGTTTTTTCCCCCTTTTTACTGTGTCTTAATTCTCCAGGAAAAAAGTTTTATATTTTATATTATTACTGTTATGGAATTCCATCTAAGATTTTACACAAAAAAGGTCAAGAGAGTATAGTAATATCTTGAAGCCTGTGCTTTTTTGTCGAAAATATTTATGAAAAAGTGAACTAGATTGGTGTTATAATATATAGACTAACAGGAAAAACACTATCATGGCTGTTTGTTAATATTAAAATAGATCCAAAACAAATAAACAAGCACACATAATAATAGACGCCACATTATTCACGATAAAGTTATTTTTATATATACGTATCTACACAAACAATTAAATGCGTATAAATAAATGAAACATCTATTCCTAAAACATGCCCGTATTGCGCGAATATACTCTTATAATTAAAGAGCAGTTATAAAACCAAACCAATTGTAATTAACTCAAAAACTGCGATCGTGATTAGATCAGGTAACTAGACTTATGCCCACATCAGGGAGAAATTACACACCTTACATCTGTTTACCTGTAAAACTGAAGATAAAAAACTCTAGCATTCACTAGAAACATTGTATATATATCCAGCACCTGACATCATCACTGCATCATCCAACAAAATGGACTCTAAATGCAGCTTATTCTCTTTCAAAATTTAACCATGTCTCACTACGTTGCTCTTTAAAACCATTTTAACAGTCAAATTCACATTTCTTGGCGAAGCAACTTCTACTCAAGCGTCTGACAAGAATTAATACTTCTTCACCAAGCACACCTTTGCCATTGAGGGGTAGGAGTTTAGGGCTCCTTAGAAGTTTTTTTCTGCCTCTTTCAACAGAAGAATAAAATATGGACGAGATTTCCCTCACCTGACTCACTAAAATGTAAAGATTAATTGAGAGGGCATAATAAGTTTTGGAATACAGTCAACATGTTTTTTTTTACAGTTTTCATGTTTATATTAACTACTACTAGCTATAACCTTAGACAATCATTTGACTTTCTCTGATGCCCTCAGGTTTCATCTTATAACACAAAGAGATTATAAAACTCTCTAAGGTTTCTTCCAACTCTCACATGGTGTGACTTTGTGCCTTCTGCAAGAAATTCTTTTTTTCTTTTCAGCATATTATCGGGGGCACAAACGTTAAGGTTACATACATTGCCCTTGTCTCTCCCTCCCCTTGAAATTCTCTAATTATCCAAACTCGAAATCTTTCATATAAATCAAGGAACTAGATGTAAGCTAATAGCCACAGCTAACACTAAACCTCTCCTGGTTAGAAAAACAACAAATACCAATAGTTAAACAGCTCAACTTCCCTATTTCTTAGACCATTCCCCTTCAGGCCAGACCTGACCAGCCCATCGGAGTTACCAACATATACTTAGTACACATAATATAGCTTTATTATATTGTACTGTGATAACCATCAAATATACTAAAGGCCTTGCCACAGTTTTTCCTACATTTGTATTTAACTATTTCCTTATTATATCTATTACTCAAGATATCATAATACCTTAAGCAGACTATTTATATTCTGGTACTTCTAACACTAGTAAAGTTAGATAAATAGAGATGAAGAGCAGAATATGAATAATTATCATATTCTGCCAAATTTTTAATAAGGTATGCTAAATACTATTTATGGGCTAGGAAAACAAGGCAAAGGTAAAAAAGGAAATCCTGCTGGAAAATGCTGATGATCAAATGATTTAGTTGTGTTTTGCCATTACTAAAAAAGATAGGAGGCAGAGGATGTTAGCAGAAACCTACATAGGTAATACTGATCCATGACATTCCAGCAGCTTTTATGAAAAATAACATACCAGGAAGCAGTATTTTGTACTAGTACAGTGCAAATTGGTTTTTCTTTGTCTAACTATGGGCAGCAAATGAGGCACTTAACTGCTCAATAGAAAATAGGGTATATTTAAGAAGACATTCAAATCATTAATAAAAGATAATCAGCATTATTCAAAAAGTAAAAAATCCAATTTTTATTTAACATGCATTTAACATTACACATGTTTCACTAGGGAAAATCCTTTTGAAGGTAGGACTGCTGTTTTGTTTATAAGAGATAGAAAACATTTCTTTTTCAAGAGATTCTAATTTCTGAGAATGAAATCCAAGTCTCTCTCAACCTGAGTGCTACATATCTATAAACCAAGAAAAATACATCTTACCATACTA